GCTGGAGTTCAGACGTGTGCTCTTCCGATCTTTAAAGTAGAGATTTCAAGCTTTCATTTGAAAAAAAGTTCATCATTTTACGATGATTTTTCGCGGAGTTACCGTTAACCAAAGTTGACCAATTTTTGCTCAAAATTTTTCTATGCCATAATTTTTTTGAGCAGTGTATTTTGAGGCTAAAAATGGCTTTTTATGCCATTATAATTTGTAACATGCACATTATGCCATTATAAATTAAAATGTAAATCTGCATATAAATGCGCATAAAATGCGACACACCGATTTGTAACAGTGTTTGCAAAAGATGTGCACTGTTTAACTAGTATGTCAAAAAAAGTTTTTGTTTTTAAAAGTTCAGACAGTTTCTTTTAAATATAATTGCATAATATAAGAGATATTATATAATAAATAACTCTAGGTTAATAATATTGATATTAAATAAATTACACTTTCGTTTTCGCTAGTCAACTATTCATTTTTTAAGTTAGATAATTATCAAAATACTTTTTATTCAACTATAAATTTAAGTAAACAATTTGTAAAGTATATTTGTTAAAATTTAATTATATTTTATTGCTTTTGAATATGAGAGCATCCATTAAAACATCTTTTCTTTTTTCCTCCATTTACAAATATTTAGAAAAAAATAAATAATTTACATTTTTTATTATAAGAACTTGTAAAATTAGAGGAAACATGATAGCGGTTTGTCAGACAGATATCACTGTTAGTGTGACTTTTTTTTTAATGTACCGTTTAAAGGTTAAAAGAAAATTAACATAAAAATGAAACATGAACATGCTGGGGACTAATTGTATAAGCATTGTAAGCGATGGATAATGAGAAGTGAAAATTCAGAGAACTCGCGAATTTCACTTCCGGCGATTAGCGCCAATAAAATTACACAAAAAACTTTCGTTATTTTAGCGTGCTTCGTTATTATATCGAAATTTTGCAGGCGATCGACCTGTAATTGGTAATTACTACCATGTTTTATAATTATAGAACATACTGCATAAACATGATTGCCGTTTTCGCGCAATTTGTTCAGTATAATTTCTCCCACAGATACATTTGGTGTTGGCTGTTCCAGACGACGCTCATATATCCTTCCCATTTTTACAACAATGGAGTAGAATTTGTCCGATGTGCTTCTACGTAAAAAATAATTTAATTGTTAAATTAAGTTGATTATTGCGAAACAATTATGTTTATCAACAAAAGTACATCACACGATGAAAACAAACAGAAATACATCGCACACTTGAAAGTGATCAGATTGGTGTTAAATATAATCATATATTTATACGTTACTAATAATATGTAATATCATCATAAGAACCCCGTGAAAACAACAAAAATCGATGGTAACACAATGGATTTTCCAATCAATTAGAATTTGCTAGAAGTCATTAAGTATATAAATATATCGCATTTAGTTAATATGCAATGCATCTCAATTATCGTACTGTATTTTCTAGAAAAGTTGTCAAAATAAAAAAAATTTAATAACAAAAGAATTAAGCTGTATATGTTTCAACAAAAATTAATCTATAAATCTTAAAATTACATGTTTCTTGTTGAGTAAAATTTTGCGTGTTTGACAAGTATGAATTTCAAAAAGTTTTATTGTTATAAGAAATATTAAATCCGAAGAAATTGGACAGTACTTACGCTGTCAAGATGTTCGGAGTAAGGCTGCTGATACACAAATATAATTTAAAATGTAAACGTTTCGACTTTCGTTTAACTTTTTCGACTTTAAGTTATCTTTGGTGTAATAAAAACGGAACCATAAAATATCCAATGTGTTTGCCAGCGTAAAATGAAGCACAGTCAAATCGTAATTTTGTTTAAGATTAACAATTATTATCGCTTTTAAGCATTTGAAAAAACACTTAAGCAGTGAAGTGAAATTAAGAATAAATTTACTTTATTGCTTAAACGTTTTAAAAACGCTTTTAAAAGTGATAATAATTTTTAATGGAATTACGATGATTTGGTAAAATGCAAACAGACATATGTGCAGAACAAGATGTGATGAACTTGTTTACACAATTTAGTACAGAACTTGTGTTTTGTGTTAACACTTTTGTATAAAACATTTTTGGAAATTTTGAATAAATTTTCAAGATAACAAAAAAAGTTAAATATCGTTTTACTATAAAAGATGATTTCAAAACCGTTTTTCCATGACAATTTCCACACGTGAAAGTGACAACGATTAATTTGTCATGATAAACAATAAAAAAATATTTCTACATGTGGAAATAATAGTGTCTTGTCACGGAAAACAATAAAACAATATTTTCACATGTAGAAATAATAGCGTATTATCACGAAAAACAATAAAACAATATTCGATCGTGTAAATTTACTAGTTTTATAACCAAATTAAGTGTTAAGTTTTGATTTTAATGTATACGTATAAATGTTATAAATGCTATCATTTCCACATGTGGAATTAATGTTTTACATAAAATGCAAAATATTTTTTGATACCTATCGATCTTGAATAGTTTTCGAGATATAACGAAAAGAACTAAAAACTGCTTTATATATAAGGGGTAATTTCACCCCTTCAAACCGTTTTTTAGCACTAACTTATATTTTTTAAATTCAACTATTTACGTAACTTATAAGTGTATAAAGTTTCATTAAAATCAGAATTTAACACTTCGTGAGGTTTCCTTGTGAATATAATCAACATAAAGTGGTCGAAACGTTTATCAAGAATTTAGGTCAGATTAGTCTTACACTTTTATTTAATGTGACAATGCATGTATATTAATATTCAACATAATACATAATAGTAAATTCGCATAAAACAAGACTCAATAGCTCCTTCATGATATAGTTCGAATTTTTATTTATATGATCCTAAATATAGTTTTTATTCAATTTTAATGTCACAATTATTATTAGTAATAAAAACCACGAAATTTAGTGGGGAAGAGATTGACAGTTAACGTGACAAAGACAAAGAGACTCAGGAGGGACCGACGGCGAGCGTCAGGCTTTACGCGACCAGTTGCCGTTTAGGAATAGCTCCGGCGGCATGAACCCGCGGCTCGCGACCGCGATAGTGGAAGCTTGCTGCAAAAATAGTAGAATTAGCAGCGGCCGGGGGAGCACCATACTCTGACGGGACTCCGCTGATGGAGATGAAGAGTCATCGCCGAAAGGCAGGACCGAAAAAGTGCCGATCAACTAGGAAGCAGGCAACGTCGCAGCGGGACGAGGAGCATCCGACGTAATGCAACCGCATGATGCGCACTACTGCGAAGACGAATGGATGGAGTAGATGGATGAAGCCTGACTTGAACAATACATCACGTATATCCATGCATGGCGTAGCAGACCTTCTTTCACCGCACGCTTTGCATCCCCGAGAATCTGTCGTGTGGTTGCAGACAGTCTCATTAATCTCGATTCGAGAGCCAACAAGCGACGGTGCGACCTCAGACCCGTCAAGGACACCTCTAGCTCTCTTCGCGTCGATCCATCGGTTCCTGGTAGCATGCGAGGACAGCCTGACTACTAGAGGACGCGGGTGACCACCCCTGGCACGAATCATGTGTGAAGAAACGAAGTCGCCCGGTAAAATCGTTATATTCAGAGCAGCGGCGATGTAGGCAGCAAGGAACTCCGAAGCCTCCGAAGAAAGTTCCTTAATCCCTAACATGATCAGTTCCGACTCGAGACATCTGTACTTCAGTGCCTCCAAGCGAGCCTCAAGTCCAGCGTCGGAGCAACCACGCGCCAGCACAGCCAGCCGCGGTCCAGACTCGAGAACAGGAACGCGCTCATCTTATAGACCCGCATGCCGCTCTCTCGGACCTCGAAGGTAAGCGCATCGGTCCTGGCAGCGAGATGAAGCGATGAGGCAAGCTGACCTCCCGACAGTCCCGACCAGATGCCAACTGTGATTTGACAGAGGAGAGATGATCCTGTAGCGAGGCTTCAATGTTGGAGATCTTTTGGAGCAGTAAGGAGCGAAGGCCCTCAAGAGAATCCACCTCCGCTCCAGCAATCGCATCCGCCGCCGAGGAAAAGCTGAAGCCGTGAGAATTAGCGCGAGACGAACGCCTGGAAAGTCCGTGAATCTTGCAGGTAGGGCAAAGAAGATCGGCGACATCCGAAGCCGAGGAATTGCCCAGCGAGCGAACACATTTCTCGTGAAAAACGTACTCAGAATTTCGGTCGCAGAAGAGCGCGTTCGCGGCGTCGATAAATTTTTTGCAGAGACCGCAGCCGAGCGTCATAATTAGAGCGGTACGCGGTAGAGATGACATAGATACGCGAGCGATGACAGCAAGGTGTTCATAAGTATACGAACAGCATACGTATATACACGCGCCAGAAATTAAGAGTATAGGTCACCAAAACACAAGTGTAAACATCACCGGCAGGTTAAATCATTTACTGATGGGAGGCCTTGGATAACAGGTGACAGCTTCCAGAATATTTCGAAAATTGAACGCAGAGAATTGCAGAGAAAAACGCCACAAGCAGACCAAGAGCGGCACCAACTTTACTAACACTAAAGAAAGCCCTTAATAGAATATCTGCAACAAAAGAGCCTCTAACGAAATCGACAGAAAAGAGATCAAAATACGGAGCAGCAAAGAAACACATCTGACAGAACCCATGTGTTCACAGAGAGAGAGAGAGAGAGAGAGAGAGAGAGAGTCCGCGGAGTGAAATTAAAATTTTTCCGATATTTCCGGACACCGATAATCCCATTGCTATTCCGTTAAGACGCAGCCATTATCAATTATAATCGATTATCTTTTACAGAATGCATTTAAAATAGAACGATAGTCGGATAATTTTTTTTTTCGAAATCAACTTGTTTCTGCTAAAAAAAAAACAAATTCTATAATTAAAGAATTAGATTTTTATTAACGCCAGGGCGCTTAAACTCGCTACGCACGACACGCGTTTGGCTCTCAGCTGAAACCATTTGAAAAATCATAACTTATTGCTCAATCAGTTTTTATATTAAATCAAACTATTTACTATAAAATGGATGATTTGTTAAGATGGAAAATGGAAGAATCACACCGCTGTTAATTTAATACGGAAAGGTTTCAAAATAAATCAAGGTCATTGCAGGGATTCGCTATAACTTCTGTTATTTATTTATAAAGAGTAATTTTTGTTATAAAGAGATATTTTCAGAATTAGGTACTATGGAGATTCACTGGAAAACACACGAGAATTGGTAAGAAGTTCAATCTGTATATTATCGCAATGGAGGAAAAAATAAGTTAGATATTGTAAATAATAATTATTGTCTAAATTCAAATCATGTAAAATTTTTAAAGTCGGACAGACTTAAATTTTAAACTTCTACATCTAAATTTTATCTTTATTCAATCGAGTAATCACTTTTATGAATAGGATCTCTTTAAAAGTATTAATTATGCTGTTATTCCTAAGATAATTAATTCTTATTAATATTACTAATTATTCTTTAAATTCTTACTTCTATGCATTTATATCTCAATTTAAACTAAAGTTTATAAAATTTAGCAATCTTTCCACAATCAAATATAAACTTAAATTTTATATTACAATTAATTCAATAATTTAAATTAATATAAAATTCTATAGAATCTTCTCGTCCCTTCATATCATTTAAGCATATTTATTTTAATGATTAAATTTTTTAATTAATTTAAAAAAGTCAAAGACTCATTAATTTTACATACAGTTTCTAATTAAAAAACAATTGATTATGCTACCTTTGTACAATCAAGATACTGCAGCCATTTAAATATACATATAATTCACAGAGCAGAAACAATCTTAAATTATAATAAAAAAAACTATATTTTTATTAAACACATGTAGATATGTTAAATGTTAATAAAATATGGAAGCACGCGTGCTCGCGCGTTTTTCGTCAACGTATGTAATACAACAGGATCCTTCGCTTATTTTCGCAGAACCGCGAGTCGGCGCAAGAGTAATATCGTATGACATAATTTGAAACACCCTCTCGCTGTACTGTTTCGCTATATTCAAGCGGTGGAACCTATTTACTGAGCGCTCGCGTTTAATCTATCATGATTTACTTACAAATTAACTAACGACAAGAAGCTGCAATAAATGCGGTTTTATCACTCTTTTTTACAGTGAGACGTTCGTTAACGCGGAAATGTTTTTTAGCACACGAACCATGATTTTTCTTGAGCGATTACCAATTTGCTTTTAGCGATATGAAAAATATTAAAAATTATCGTATTCTGTTAAATAAATTGCTTTTTTTTGTTGAAATAGATTTATATACTTATAAGTAAGCTTATTGACATATAATTTTTACTATTACAGTTTAGAGATCATTACTCGAAGTTCGCGGCGTAGAATCTTGCCGGAAGGATTCTTCGGTATAACATCAACAAATTGCACCCCGCCGTGCAGCCATTTATGCGTCGACAGTTTCTCTGCAAAATAAATTGAATTGCTCGAACAATGTATGTACGGCGCTTGGCTCGCGTTTATTATTAAATTACAATGACAAGATGGGACGAAATATTTCTGCGCTCTTACTGCGCCGTACATTTAATTTATTTACAGAAAGAGCGGGGATAACTAACAATTTTGTTGATCGCAGCGTTTAATATTGTTACAACGCAATGTCACTAATAACTAATATAATACTACTAGTAATGTAATGTAATGTAATGTAATTTAAATTAATATAAATGTTTGAATGCTGCCACTATATCATTTCTGGCATGTTTTACTTATTTATTTAAATTTGAATGCAATAATGCATTCGTGCCAAATAACTTTCACTATACTGTTGTAAGCAATTTATTAAATTTTTTATTTTTTATTATAGATCTATATGTATATTTTTAATATTTTTTAAATCTGCAACTTTGAAATGCTTTTTTCAACTTATTTTGAAGTAAAGAAAATCTAAAATTAAAATTTTTTATTGTGATGAAAAGAATCAAACAAAGTACGACATATGAAAGGAACAAAATAGTGTGCACTCTTATCTGAGATTTGTTCATAATGAGAGAAGTAATGAATAATGTTCTAATTAAAGAACGTTTTAATGAATCTGCGAGAAATGACAAAAATGATCAGGCTGAGTGACAACTCACGTTTGACGAACTCCTGCAAGTCTTGGGCGGTAATCGTGGCGCCAGGTTGCTTCACTACAAAAGCCGCGGGAACTTCACCGTTGCGTTCATCGGATTTAGCAGCGACCGCGGCGTCTTTTACCGCGGGATGCGACAGTAAGACGGTTTCTATCTCCGATGGCGAGACTTGAGAGCCTTTGTATTTGATCAGTTCCTTGGCGCGATCGATCACGTGTAGCCTCTCTTTGTTGTCGAAATAGCCGATGTCGCCAGTGTGAAGCCATCCGTCCTGATCGATGATCTGTCTAGTCATCTCGGGGTTGTTCCAGTAACCCAGCATCACTTGATCCCCAAGATAGCAGATCTCGCCCACCTCGCCAGCCTCCAGCGTCTCTTGTGTCTCGGGATCGACCACTTTGCCGAGAAAACCAGGGAAAATTTGCCCGCAACCTAGATTTTCGAACTCGTTATCATCATCGTCGCGTCCGCTCAAATTAGTCGCCATCGACAATTCTGTCATGCCATAGCCATTGCGAACGCATTTTATGCCGATGCGAGCCTTCACCGCA